CCAGGTCTATCACGGCGGCGATGGCGCTGATCGTGCCGCCCATGGCCTGGCCTGCATAAGGGACCAGAGAGCCGGAGCTCAGCGCCCAGGGCACAAGTGAGGGACATCGAGGTGGCAGAGTGCGACCCACAGCACCTCCAGCGAGGAGGACTTTGATGCAGAGGACTTTGACCCCCCACCTCATCTCCATTTCCACGCCTCGTGGCAACACAGCTATTTGTGGGGCTGCATCACAGCCCGGGTCGCACCCTGCATCCATTCCAACACAGCCACAGCACCGTGCAAGGGTCAGGATGGGACCCGACCCCTTGGGCTTGCACGTGCCGAGTCCTGCAGAGAAGGTCCAAACCCTGCCCAGAGCCTAAGCCTGGCTTTCCCCCGGCACGTAGCCAACCGCCTCTCTTCTGCACTCCCCCAGACGGGGACCCAGGCCACCAGCAACAGGTACGTCATCTCAGGGACGCACCGATCTCCCCCGCTGGGCTAAACTCATTAAAACACTCCTGTCGCAGCCCCGGGAAAAATTTCTCCGTCTTGATTTTTTCCCCATCCCCTCTTGGTTTGTCAGGCGTTCCACAGCACATTTATAATGTTATCAAACCTCCAGGGAGCTCATCACTCACGGCTCCCAACGCGCCCCTCATCACTCATGGAAACGCGTGGAAACGCTGAACAGCAAGGAGGAGACAATGCGACGTTGAAGATTCCCCCAGCTGCAAACAGAGGAGCTGAGGGACATCTCTCCTTCCGCCCTCCTCCCCACACAGAACAACCAACCAGGGTCAAGCTGGCTGGAGCTGCCCTGCAGGGTGTTCGCCCTCCAGGCAGGGATGGTGAAGGACCACCGCTCTCCTGGCCTCTGCTGAGCCCTCAGCACTTTGGTTTATGGGTATTTACAGAAACGAAAGCTCATGTGACCGAGCCTGTTTTTCCTTCAGCAACTTCCCTTTATCTTTAAGGCAAAGTTAAGTTTCTAAAACAATCCCCCCATGATGAAACACCAGACGCAGCAGAGAAAGAAAACCAACCACCCAACCACAGAAAACCCAAGAGCACGATCCCAGCGGGACGGCGCGGCTGGGGGACAACAAACCGAGATCAGCGCCCGCAAGTTCTTCATGGGGAAGAGGCTGCTCAGACCGAAGATGCTGCTGCTGAAGACGGTCGAGGCGCTGCTGACGACCACCACGCAGCCGATGGTGAGGGCGAAGAAGCCGGTGGTCCAGGCGGACGTGTCGACCTTCACCAGCATCGTGATCACCAGGAAGACGACCAGCATGACAAAGAGGGAGGACAGGATCCGGACGCTGGCGGGCACCCTGGGGACAAGGGGAAGGAGAGATTCCTGCGTGTAAAAGTATAACGTGAAGGTGCGACGCTGAGGACACCAACTCCCGTGCTGCGAGAAGGATGAAAGAAAAGAAAGAAAGGCGGGGGGAGATGAGGAATAAAAACTAATGATTTTTCTAGAAGCCTTTAGGCGTTAACTCTGCCATTTCCAACTTTTGCCATCAGCAGGGCTAAGTCTAAGCCCAACCGAGCTGTAAATATCCATTCCTCCCAGAAATCAGGAGCTATCCGCATCGCTGCAGCGACGTACAGCGGCAGCGATAAAACCCGCCTGGGAAACGCGGCAGGCTGGGTGAAAGCAATCCCAGGCACGTTAACGAGTTGTTTGAGCACGGAGGTCACTTATTACCCGGCTGGGAGACCGGGTGGGCTGGCCTGGGGGCAGGACGGAGGGGGCGAGGGAGAGAGGGAGGGGGGGAGCACACAAACACACTCCTCTCTGCCTGCAGACGGAGCTGGATCTGGGATAAGGCACGGTACAAACGAGGGGAGGCGGCTATTTTAGATTTTAAGTCAAGCTTGCAACGAGGCACAGATGGTCCATTTCTTAACCCAGCTCGGCAGCGGGTAGGACCAGAGCAAGGCATTGCTCTGCCTGGATGAGCCCAGCTCTCCTCAGCCGGTCCCCCGGTGACAACGATGGCATTTTTCAGAGGAAGCTGGAGAACCGCAGGAACAACACGGGCAAAAGCGGGGAGAGCCGCGGCTACGGCACCCGGGGACGGAGGAGA